AAATGACCCTTACTTGCCATAATACTATTTAAGACGACACATTTAAGTTAAATGAGGAAAATTAATTGGAACGTGATTTGTAACGTATCAGACAACTTATTGAACTTGGTCTTGTTTTAACCTTTTTCTAATAAAGAATGTGATATGTAAGATCAGAAGACTGGTTAGTTAGTTGGGATAGGACATAAAGTTGGTCGACTTTTTGAGCTTTCATCATTGCAAGTTCCTAGTTCATCTTCTGTCCAACCTTTTGCAGCTTCTGTTTCTTCTAGTTTTTAGCATTCTAGTCTTGGTCACACATCTTTTTCTCGTATTCAGTCTTTAGCATCTAATGGTTACTTAGGAAGACTTTAACAATGGCTCTTTTGATTGTGTGTCTTGCCAACTAGGAAATTAGAAAGTTTTATCTTTTAATAATAACGTCTCTTTATCTTATGCCCTTTTTTTATCTTATCCATTCTAATGTATAGGGACTTGTCCCACCTCCTAGCAAGGGGGTGTCATTATTTATCTTTATCGATGATTATTCATGGTACACATGGATTTATCTTTTACACCATCAATTTGAGTTATTAAATATTAGATTATTATTCATGGTACACATGGATTTACCTTTTTTATCAGTTTAATTGCATTATCAAAATATTTCATTCTAATACCATGTTAAAATAAGAAAAGTATAGAGAGAAAAGAGAGAAGTAAAGAATATTTGTATATTCTGATGTGTGTATAAACTGTACGAGAGACTGTCCTTTTATAGGAGAAGGGGGTCACTACGAAAGGTAACATTATCAATTAATTATGGCTAATTAGACAAAATATCAATATTACCATATCAGTAAGATATTAAATATAATTTGTAGTTTTAAGTAGATGATAAAAACTCAGTTTAATCTCACTAACAAAAAATTTCACTCTAATAATGCTATGGAGTATACATCTGCCTCTTTTCTTCATACCATTAAAGAAATGGCACTCTTTATCATCGATCTTGTCCATATACTTCCCAATAGAATGGTCATGCAGAACATAGGCACCTTCATATTTTCGACACTGTAAGATATCTTCTCATTTTAGCCCTTCTCTTTGAATCCTTTTGGGAAGAAGCTGCTCTTACAGCCGTTCATACAATCTATCAGTTTCCCTTTCAAACTATTTTCAATCAATCTACATGAGCTTCTCCACAAAAAAGGTACCAATTATTCTCTCTTGAAAGTTTTTAGTTGAGCTTGTTTTGTATTACTTCTACATCATAAGCGTACCAAATTTGAACCACGATCTTCTTTCTGTTGTTTTCTTGGTTATGGTATGAGCACAAAGGTTATCGATGTTATGACCCTATCACCAAGCACCTTCGTGTCTCCCGTCATGTTCAGTTTTTGGAGCACAAGCTCTTCACCAGTATATCCTCAGTCCCGTCACATCCTTTATCCCTTCATCCAGTTTTTACTGACCCCAATATAGATTTTTAATTAGATTCTAATGCTGGTGTTGAAAGCTCATTCAGTGACAACTTATCGCCTATTCCTCCTGAGCCTGAGCCATTGTCTAATCATATCATCACATTTGAGTCTTCATCCGCTCGAGAAATTCTTCCCTCTAATAGAGCAAGAACACCTTCGACACATCATAATGATTATCGTTTTTTCTGCTATTGCCACTTTTCATGAACCTCGCAACTATCCCAAGGCTAGTTTTGACCCTCTTTAGTAAAAAACTCTGTTTGATGAATTTCGGGCCCTCCTCAAAACTTATGCATGGGACTTAATTGATTTGCCTCCAGGTAAGTCTTTAATAGGATACAAATAGATGTACAAGGTGAAGACAAGAGCTGATGGGTCTGTTGAACGATATAAAGACTGTTTAGTACTACTACTACTAGTAATACGATGCTGCAGTTGTTGCTGTGTTGCCCCGGAAGTACAGGTGACTGTGCTTTTTGGCGTTGTTATGACACTTGAGGAGATATCTTTTAAGATTGTGGCTGGCTTAGTTTGGCCTAGAGCCTTGGTGAGAAAGTAGCCCGTTTCCATGTCCAGTGTAGTCTGCAATGGACAAAATGGACTTACTGTTGATCCTTTATGTATGTTTAAAGCTCCATCGCTAATTGGAATCTTGAGGATATTTTTTGATGCAGTGGAACTTTGATGAATATTTGTGATATCAGATTCAGCAGGCCCACTGGAAAGGCTGAGCTCCAAATCAACCTTAGGGCATTCATCAAGCGATTTCAGAGAGGGGCCGGCTGACAGTTTTGGGCTTTGTGACTTCTCACGGCCAAGATGGAGAGTGAAATCCAGTTCTACATCCATTGTGGACTCTCCTTCAGTTTCTTTAGCTGAAGATAATGAGGTGCATGCAGTCACTGTGCTGCCTTTACTGTCGGAAGAACTGGCAGAATGGCCCAGGAGGAGACATAATGAAGATCCGATTTCCTGGTCCACAGATCCACTGATACATTTCCGTTTGACTCCCTTAGGAGCAGATGTCAAAGGGAGTGGAAAGGCAGGCGAATCAAGTCGTAAGGTTCTATCAGCATAACAAACACCTCCAGCTCCTGATCCTCCATTTTGGATGGAATTGCTTGAATTTTTGAATGCATTAGATTCCGGGTTAGCAGCAAAACCCAAATTGTGGGATCTAGCATCCATGAACAAATAGTTAAAAGACACAACACTTATTTAATTCAAGACTCAATTGCAAAGAACAGTCTGCCTGACTTCCGGGCTTACAGAAATTAGTGACAAAACTACGGTTAGATGTCTCTAAAAAAGTATTCCCAACCACCACTCACGAATCCCGAAGTATCACAGCGATCCATTTACTATAAAAAGTGATCTGAAGTTCCGCTAATTAGCAGCAGTAACGGGAAATAAATTTACACAATTTCGCATTCCTTCAGTATATAATTGCAGTTGGTCATCCTGTTCCATGAGGAACTACATTATTGGTAAGACATATGATTGCCGACCGAAAGCAAAAAAATTGCAACATAACATAATATTGCAACATTTCTTAAGAAGGAAATGAAATTTATTCTTTATAAAACCAAAATACTTGACAGAGAATATGGTCCTACTTATCAATATTAATTATTGGAACTCCAATGTACAGATAAAATAGAGTAAAGAACATTAAATCGTTAAGTTAGAAAAAACAGTAATGATATACATGCCAAAAAATGTATTAAATGCATCAACAACTCTAACATGGAAGGTTACTACCGTTTTAAATTCTGTAAGCCAAACATAACAGCAGCAAAAGCAAAGTACAGAAACCAAGTTAACTAGTAGACCTTTAAAAAACTAAGTTTAATTGGCGAACGGTTTTCCAATAATCAAAATATCTGACCAAACTTTTTAAAATTTGATTGATTCGTATTTCTTAGTAACTCATTATTCGACAAGCCTTTTAATCCACTTCTACAAAAATGTATATTTTGCTTTCTATTTCACTAACCATGTACAAGATATTTCGCCTATGTGAAAATGACGTCCCATGTTGAAAACAGGGCATTCGGTTTTAAAAACATGAATTTAACATAGTGGGACTTCACTGGTCTATGATAGTGTCGATAGGAAGAGATTTCTTTAAGTGACCTTAATTAAATTATTTCTAAACGAGAATTCACTTTTGACTTAGGTATCACAATCACACCGTGGTGATGAACTCATGTTGGTCCAAGTAAGAGAACGAAAACAAAAATAAACAAACACAAGCAATGGAACTCGAAACATGTACTAGATTTTCTTACAATAATTAATGATTAAATAATGCAATAAAATATCCATTAACTCTTCTTAAAGTATTAATGCAATTTATTATCACTTTATTCAAACCTCTACTTCTTCCACGTATCTAATATTAAAAATAGATTTAATTATTAATGTAAAATTTCTTTATTGTTCTACAATTAATTATTAAAATATTTAATTATTGTGTTTCATCATTCAATCTTGTTATAGTGATAAACTCAATGACAAGATCAATAATAGAGAAAAAACATATCAACACGTGATTGGACAGTTTGAAAAGAAGAAGAAGAAAACACCCAATTATTGTCTGCCACAACACCCTAGCAACTCGCTCCCTGTCATTGACCCTGTCCAAGAGCCATGATTCTTCCTCATTTGTAATAGTTAACTGCAAACTAATGATTGCCAGTGTTGAATGTTATATAACTAATGAAAGTTGATGCAACATTTCAGTTTCTCAAAGGCTATGATCATGCTTGCCCTCAAAGAGTAATTCGTTTTATACTGTCCTTGTTTAATAGAGATTAAATATAAATTTTAAATTAAAATTAATAATTAATTTTAATCTCATATTCCGTGGTATTTATATTGTTTTAGTCACACTATTTATCATTTTTTTAATAAAAAATTACTAAAAATCTAATTTTAATTTCCACCAAATAGGAGCATTATATTTTCTTCTACATCTTTGTACAATTTAATCTTTAAATCGGATTACTCGTTTGAACTTGATACTATGTTTAGTTTCCATCTTAAAATGTCATATTGGTATTTTAATATTCAATCGATGTTAAATTTTGTTCTTGCTACATAAAGCAAAAAAATTATGTTTATTTTAGAGTCACATTTATAGAATTAATCACAAAAAATAAGAAATATCACGGGAGCTTGGTACAAGCTAAAGAGCATATAAAGATTTGCCACACAATAATTTACACTGTATTAAGTGAGAAAAAAATTAAAAATCTTACTACTCTGTTCAATATTACGTATTAAAAATTGAGATTAAAATCTACTAAATATTTATATCAAGATCAACAATTAATTTAAATCACACATTTCTTTTGATCCACAACTTTTCAATCGCATATTTCATTAAATTTTATCAAAATTTACTAAAAAAAATTATTTAATCTACACAAAAACGAGGTTTAGTTTAACTTACACGATAAATTCTATTAATAATGTGAAATTAATATCTTATAATACTTTTGGAGGCGGGTTGTCTCACTCTATATCACTCTTCGCCTAATCATTCTAGGGGGACCAAAGATAGGTTTCGAGTTGATTTTGAATAAGTCAAACATTTCTCAGTCTAAGTCTGCATGCTATCCATTATCAGGCTCATCACAGTTAGAGAGAATGGATCAAAATCAATTGAGAAGTGTATCTGACGATCCAATTCAAAGAGAAATAGAAAAGCTAGATGAAACAAATAAGAAACAAGAATGGAGAATCCAAATTCTGGAAGCAAAGGCAGTACAAAATATCAACTTATATTTTGTATTCCAAGCAGTTATTCTTGCATCCTCCTCAACCGCCAACTGCCACAACTGGTGGATTCCGGCCATTCTATCAGTTCTCACGGCAACCTATAATCTATTTACATTCTGTGCTTCCATGAATAAAGTTGTCAAATCCAGGGAAGAACTTGATCAGAACACGGTGGACCTTGCATTTATGAAGGTGTATCAAATGACAAAAGCTCAGATAAATCAGGTTTTGCCGGGGACTCCATTGAATCATCAGAGAGGAGAAATCGTTCGGCCGATGCCCAGCTCTGCGCGGAGGTGGCGCCGCCGCCTGCTGGTTTGTTTTTCAGTTGGCTTGTTTATTGGCTTCAGCTCAGTGGTTATGTATGGTTGTTATACTCGATCGTGCCTTCCAGGTGATGGAAAGCGTGTCAAAGGTTGCTAATATCTGTTTCTATAAATTAATTATCAGAAAACAATATGTAATATTTGTATGTATATATGGCATTTTTCTATGCAGATTATGAACAAATAGCAAAGTGGAGTTTCCAGAAGGTCCACTCTTTGTGGCTGGAGATATTTCAGATCTTCTACTTATCCCTTTTTTTCTTTTTTTTTTCTTTTTCTTTTTTTTTTTTTGGTGCAAGTAGCTAACTTTGGCCAATTATTTAATTAAGTAGGGCTCATTAATTAATTTTGATGGTTTGAAGATCGAATTTTACAAGAAGATAATCGTAGTATATTTAGTCATTCAAAATTAATTTTAAAGAAATTGATGGTACAGCCCACAGAAAGGGGTAATATTGCACCACGAATAACTTTGTGTTGTAAACATAATCTTTCAATAGAAATGTTAATAATCACTACTGGTGATCTGGTTCCATTTTTATTGAATGTGTTTGACTAACATATGCACATGAATTCAATGTTTAATATTTATCAAGATATGCTCAAAAGTAAGATCATGGGCGGAGCCATGTATTGTCCAGTGCAGGCAAATGCTTGCACTGGACTTTTGGCCCGAGCCCATGTTTTTTTTTTTAAGTTTTTTTTTTAAAGTATGTTTTTCTATTTATAGTCCAATCCATACACTAATTTACCCCAACTTCAAGTGCACGGCGACATTTTCTAACTCTTTTCCCTCAACAAGAAATTTAAAAATTTCTTTATATCTGTCCTCGTTTTGAAATATTGTCAAAGTTTATTTCTTTCCTAAAATCCACATTTTTTTGGGCCCTCAAATTTGCAGCAAAAATTCTTCTTGATCATGTGATTTTTCTGTTTAATATTAATGATTTTGATTATGTGAATGTTGAATATTGGTAATATTTGTGATGGATTCTTAAAATTTTGATTTTTGTCAATTAGTTAAATAATTAGTGATGATCTTATGGTGTTCTACTAATTTGTAAAAATCAGTAATTCTTTTCTTATCTATTAGTACTTAATTGTCTCTTGTAGTTTATTTTAGTCTGAAGTGTCAATATAAAGATTCCTTAAAAAAAAAAATTCGTAGAAAATGTTGATACGGAGATATCGAATAAAATGGACTTTGATGTTGTACAACTTGCTACAGATCCCGGAATAAGAAAGAAGATGATTATCTTATTAATGTTGTCGCTAAGTTATTTTTAGCGTTGGCATAATATCATTAAATCCATAATCAAAAAATTCGACCTTGATTAAATTTTGCTCGCACTGAACAAAATTTCTGGCTCCGCCCCTGAATAAGATGATATGTTTACTTTTACACGTTACCCATTTTTAATTAGAAGTGCAGGTAAAGAGTCAATCTTGAGTTAAGGCATAAGTGAGTGAATTTTTTTAATTGGCTTCTTAGTATTTCTTATGCAGGAGCCCACTAAACTTCCAACACAACTTGTGTAAAAGCCAGACAGACGGTGGCCTTATGTGGATTTTTATGTAGACTTGAGTCAACTAACTCAAGGAACATAATAGGATAGGAAAATTCATGTCTACAAATATTTCAACATACAATTGCAAATATAATAAATTTGTGAAATTTTTTCAAAAATCAAGAAATATTAATGCAAGCTCAAAGAATGGAGTAAGGAAATATTGAATTAGAGCAAAGGAATAGCAGATGTTGTGACCTATAAATTAATTAAACAAATCATAATCACAAAATCACATAGTTTATGGTTTCGGTCATATAATAGTCACAAATTATACAAGGCCAAGTTACATAAGACACAATTTATGGGTCACAATCACATATTTAATCGAAAACCACAATTTAATAGATTACAAATTATCTAATTAACTAGTCACACACACCATTCAGTATTCACCTAACCTCAACTTCACTACCCTACCACTGTCGGCACCATCCAAATCAGAGGCATCTCCTCAAATCCACAATCACTATCAACACCTTCACCTTTACTCCAATCTACCATCACC